TATTGAGGGTGGTCTTGGCAGATTTTCCGTTGCTGGAAAGGGTGCAAGTCCAAACACTGCCAGACTAGGAATCCACCGACGCTTAGAAAAAGAACAAGCGAAAAATTATAGATGCTTACAGAAGTGAAAGAGAAGTGAACAGTGTCGCCGGGGTTGACATTGAATCCATTGCCCCAAGGCAAGGAGGGGTTTCCGTAAAATCCATCGCCTGCGAGTCACGTTCAGCGAGGTGCGGGAATAGAAAGAAAAAATCGGTTAGACGCACCGATCCACCAAGTTCCGCTCCTACCATCCAGGACTGCCTGGAGGACACCATTTCCGTTTTGAAGGCCAGGCCAGATGTACGGAGTGCCTGTTTGAATTGAACTTCTAAAGATTCCAACGAACCAAGGATGAACGCACCTCCAGCCTTAGGCAACTTTGGAACAACCATGTCTCCGGACATGGAGGTGAAAGTTCTAAATCAAGATGAGCATGACCTTTCCTGTTGCAGCATGGGTGACTCAAAGAACGTACGCTCCGTTCCATTCGACTGTGTACCAGTTGGCAGCACGTACGGAGGAGAAGAAAAGCAGACTGAACGCTAGGGTAATGAAAGCCAACATTGTGCGCACTGTTTTACGGGCTCTCTCTCTCAAGACTTATATAGTAGAAGAACAGGCCGCCGTAAACAAGATTCCACAAGGTATGCTCAAGGTAATCTAAGTCGGGCACCCGTAGAGAAGCACCAGTTCTAAAGAATTTTGATAGTATACCACATGAAATGTGAAGAAAAGCCCCGAGGCTCAAGAATCAGGAGGAAAACCCAGAATGCTCTGTTATGACTGCTGAGAGAAAGGAAAACAAGAAACTAGGTCCCTAGTATTCTGGGCCGAAGGACTTTGCTGGAGCTGGTACCCGACGTGCAACGGCATCGGATGAAACATGAAGGCAGCCGAGATCCGGAAACTGACGACAACCACTGTCAGTAAAGACATCCAAACAAATTACATCGCTCAACGCTGGCAACAGGCGTTCTTCGCACTCTTTATTTCCCCGCTTTTCTCCCGTTTCTCTTTCTGGACTAGCAGCGATGCTTTCAAAACAAATCATTGCAGTCGCTCGTGGTCGCGGTCTGCTGTACGCGAAGCAGGTAACTCCAAGCTTTACACGGGGATGGTATGCACATTCTATTTGACTTGGGATATTCGTAACATGCGAGGGAACAGGGATGTTGCGAGCCACCACGCGCGTACTGCAAAGTTCCATTCGTCAAGGCTGCTGCAAGGTTCTTCCAATTCAAACTGCGCGGATCATCCACAACGTGGGGCTCACTTGAAGTTTTGTTGCAGCTGAGACCATTAAGGTCCCTCAAATGGCGGAATCCATCACCGAGGGAACCTTGAAGACGTGGTCAAAACAAGTGGGTGACACCGTCGCAGCCGACGAGGAGGTGGCAACAATTGAGACCGACAAGGTATGTCCTTGTATTTAATTCTTGCATTAATTGTTACGAACAAAAACTTTTTGTGTGTTTCAGATCGATGTTTCTGTGAATGCACCCCAAGCTGGTACGATCGTCAAGCTACTTGCGGCGGAAGAGGACACCGTGACTGTGGGGCAAGACTTGTTCATCATCGAACCTGGTACAGGCAATGGTACGTGTTTTTCTTTCTGTGGTATAATGGACAACTTGAAATAATTGCCCCAACCAAGCTGGCACTGCTACACCCCCTGCGGAACCTGTCGAGAGCAAACCTGCGGAACCCGCTGCGGAGTCAGCCCCGAAGCCCGCGGCCCCCTCTGAAAAGGCTGCCACTCCGGTAGCCAAGGAGGAGCCCAAGAAAGAATCACTCAAAAGGAGTGAGGAGCCTGTCGCTGCGCGGGCTGCACCCGGAAATCGCAACGAGACGAGGGTTCGTTCCGCTCGTGCCCGTCAGGTCGGAGATCGCACTTACACTATTATCCCCGCAGGTGAAAATGAACCGCATGCGTCTCCGCATCGCCGAGAGGCTGAAGGAGTCCCAGAACGCTGCTGCGTCGTTGACGACGTTTAATGAGATCGACATGTCGTCACTCATTGAGATGCGCAAAAAGTATAAGGATCAGGTGCTGAAGGAACATGATGTCAAGCTCGGTTACATGAGCGCTTTTGCCAAGGCTTGTACTTTGGCGCTTAAAGAGATCCCTGCTGCGAACGCGTCGATTGAAGGTGACGAGATTGTCTACCGCGACTATGTCGACCTGAGTGTCGCGGTGGCCACACCCAAGGGCCTCGTAACTCCAGTTGTGAGAAATACTGAGGGAATGAACTTCGTCGATATTGAGAAGGAGATTGCCTTCCTCGGCAAGAAGGTTTGTCTTGTTTTGAACTTTGGTGATTAAACTTTTCACCAAGTTTGCTCCAGGCTCGTGATAACAAGCTGACTCTTGAGGACATGGCTGGTGGAACTTTTACCATGTAAGCCTTTTATGCACAGCCCTTGATGAAAGCTCATAGCACTCCCAAGTTCGAATGGTGGCGTCTTTGGATCGCTCTACGGTACACCTATCATCAACTTGCCCCAGTCTGCCGTTCTCGGTACGCTCGCCCTGATACAGATGTAACCATCACTCAACCAACATTTGCTTTAGGCATGCACGCTATCAAGGAGAAGCCAGTGGTTGTTGACGGTCAAATCGTCATCCGACCCATCATGGTGGTTGCTCTCACATACGACCATCGCTTGTTGGACGGACGTGAGGCTGTAACATTCCTTGGTGCGTTTAACTTGGCCTTAGTGTCCAGCTGACGACTGACCACCGCTATGCAATCTACAGTCAAAGTCAAAGAATACCTCGAGGATCCTAGGAAGATGCTCCTTGCTGCTTAGAGAAACTTTATATAATTTGTGTACGGATTGAGGATATATGTGCAGACTCCAACTAGCTAATTATCTGACTCTTTTTCTGTCACTTGCAATCTAAAAACTGTCTATAATCCATAAATAGATAACTACCTGTCACATTGATACGCACTCATTGTGATAGGCCCACAGCCCACAATCTCGTGTCCTAGCAGGAGAAGGCCGAGTGCCACGAAATCAATTTGGAAATTGTCTTTTTATCCACAACATGGCACCAAACATACCCATCGAAATCATTATCCATATTATAGATCGTATCCCTCTTGATATCGACTCGAAGAAAGATCGCTTGTCTCTATCAAAGTGTTCTACCGTATCCCGCGCCTTTAAAACCCCTTGCCAGAGCCGTCTCTTTTCAAATATCCGTCTCATCTCGTTTAACGGTCCGGCGAGATGTAGGAGTCTGCTCACCACTCTTACCCGTTCCCCTCACCTTGCTCGTTTGATTCGTTCGCTCGATATCCAGAATGGCTGGATGAAAGTGAAAAGATTAGATGGAACGCAGAAGACAATGTGGACGTTGGCTGAGCCTGCATTTCCTCCCGTACTTGATCTGCTTTCTGCGCTCGAATCAATCCAGCTGCGCTCAAGCACCGTTAGAGCTTTCAGATGGAATATCATAGGGGAGGCCATACAAACATCACTCTTACGTCTCTTCGAGCTACCCAGCCTGACAAAAATTTGCCTCCGGAACGTGATAATCCCACCTACCGTCTTTGCGCGTTCGCCCCAGCTGGCATACTTCGGCCTGCACAAATCGGCAATCGACCTCTCCCAAGACCTCTCTCACCACACCCAAGAAATACATCATCCGCACCTACAAACATTGCATATCTCATCACAGATGGCATGCGTCGTCTGGGGAGATCTGCGCGCATTCTTAGATCTCTCCCAACTCGAAGAGCTCGTATTGGAAGACGCAGATGCAAAGGGCCTCGATGTCGTCGCAGCGATTTTTGAGAAAAATGAGCAATCCTTAGTTCGGTTCACCTGGATTTTACCTATTATGAGCGAATATTTCTTCAGCAACATTCCATGGGTCTCAGAATGTAGGTTTAGGCGTGTCTGCACATGGCATCTTGCTGATCAAAGAGGTCGTTGTCATTGCAGTCCCACTACCGGCAAGGGTGCGCTCAATGGACCTTTCCATCCTTGACGCCAAAGCCTATGAGCAGAGGGATATGGCTACGCCCTCGACTCTGACATGGGTCCTGTACGCGCTGAGGAAGCTTGGATCTCTACCGCGGAGACCTGAGCTCGAACACGTTGTGATGAGGCTTGTCTTTGAGCCATCACATCACTACCATCTCTTCACGCACCCAATATGGGAGGAATTGGACGTTACCCTCGCTGGTGATGGTGATAATTTTAGGAGCCTGAGAAGGTTCGAACTCTTCCTCTCGAACGCGCATAGTTGCGCCGAGGATATCCTGGACCATTGGGTAGCAACAATGACTGAGCGTCCTGGCTTCTCGTGGTGTATTGTTCGTGAGTCACAGTCCCGACCTTGGGCTCAGCAATAGCGTCTCTGCCCTGTAGAGGACACGAAACGCCCAGTAAGCATTTCATCACTAGATGATCATCTCCATCATCCGCGAAGTGGTTGTCTTTTTGTACACATATACCAGCGTAAAGATCATTCTTTACGAGAGCTTATGTACTAGTCTTTCACATTCACGGAATGTTATTGCTGTATTATATTCGACTTTGAGGTTTCGTTCAGTGTGCGCACAATCCAAGCGACGGTTTATTCTTCTCCAGCCATTTTCATAGATATTGTAGTCGTAGAAACATGTTTGAGTGCGATGCTATGTTGCAAGTCCGAACCCTTTCTTCGCGCTGCTCCAACCCTCAAAATTCATTTGAATTGACAAGTTCAATTCCAATAGAGACCAATTTGGCTAGAATATACACACCCTTGATCTCATTGAACACCACACCTTGGTGAACTTTACTATTACGATAATTCAGCGGTCAGATCCACTCTTTGGATCTCTTACAAAAAACTTCAGCCAAATGAGAGGACTCATGAAATATTTCCCCCCTCTTTTGGAGAGATCAAGTCATGAACTTGGTTCTTGACATGGGAAAAGAAAACGGGAAGGATGACCAAATTGACCGAGACAGGGGTCGAACCTGCAATCTCCTGATGACGTGACTCCCTTGAAGTAATCATCGTAGTCAGACGCGATGCCATTTCGCCACACGGCCATGTATGTGGCGTGTAGCGTTCAGCACAGGTTCCTAAGCAACCACTTGAGCACAGTGGCATTTTTTTGCTCTCTGAATTCCGGTTCCGGTTCCGTCCCCATGCCACGATCGGACCTCGTGGTACGTCACTGTGGCGTCCCACTTTGACTGTGCACCGTCGTTAGCTTGCTGTCATGCAGGCGGACACGTTGCTGGCCGCTCAGGCGCAAGCAAGAGCCTGCTCGTTTATTGTCAAGGCTCGAGCGGATCCAACATCGATACTAATACAACTGGTAGTGGCGAGTACTAGATCCGGGACACATGAGTTCGCTCTTCTACTCGATAGCCGTGTGGCGAATGGGTGGAATAACGTTACACGATGATCCGGGGCAGGGATTGTAGTCAGGTGATTGTATGACCACATCGACCCTGACTCGGGATGGATTGGTCGTTTTTTTACGACGTTTTTTGTTCTTTTGTCTAGAGTGGTGCAGAGATGTATTTTTTCATAGGTTTAAGAAGTGTTTCTTTCCTGAAATCAATAGTGAGATTATGTGAAATCCACGAAGAGCCTCACTACACTCTCAATTGAACGACGCCGCCACATCAGGACAGCTGCAGCGGGGACAGAAGAAAGGGCACCGCGTCTGGCCACGATCTGTCAAAAGTTAATGCAGCTTCGGAAAAAGCATATTAAATGCTTAAATTATATATCTATGACCCACAACCTAAAGTAGCAGTTCTATGAAGTTTTTTCCATCCTCCGACTGCCCCAGGCTTGTCGCAGGTGCCTCTCGCAACGGCGAGCTCGAGCGGGCGGGCCGCGGTAAAAACGTGCGAAAATTCCCCAGTAGGGAAAGACACCTCACCAACTTGACACCCACCCGCGCATCGCTATCCGTGCATCCTCTACTGTCGCGCGGCCGGCGGCTTCACTGACGGCCGCGCCACTGTGCCAGAGGCTACTATTCGGCCTCTTAACTCTTATCTGCATCTTTATCTCGACGATATGAGTGTATCTAGTACTCGCACTGGCAGACCTACACCGCCCGGGCCGCAGTGAAGAGACTTTTAAGCTTCATACGATCGATGGGCATCCTTGCCCCACAATATATACAATAGCTCCTTGGAGCATATTTTGGATTCGTAACGGTGCACTGCCAATATTCTATATGTGCTTGTGTATATTGTGATTTGGATATCGATTGCGAGATGTGCCAAAGGCCAAGGACCAAGGACCAGTACCAAGTACCAAATACCAGAACCTTGTGCCACCGAAATCCACTAATCTGGGCATACGACAAGTAATAAACCAGTACCGGTACCAAGGATATTCGTATTGATAATCATATTCAAAATGACAGTCCAAACTCGAGCACCGCACTCAGCACAATATACCATATACGATACAAGATACATGAGATACGATACACGATACACGATGCCGATACCGATGTGGGACCTGTGGCGCGGCAGTATAAATGCCGACCTAGGTGGTCACGCGAGGAGCCCGCAGCTCCTCAGGCCCCAAGAGCTGCAAATTGCATCCACGAATCACGACCGTCACCGCGTCCGATTGCCCCCTTTGCCCCAGTGCGCACACCACGCACCACGCATTACGCACCACGCGCGGGCATACGCGGGCCCAGGTGCGCGTGGCGCTGTAGTTGTGGGGCATACGACATGGTTGAGCAAGCCCAAGTGCAATCACGGACCATGTCCCCACTGCGCGGACGTATGTGGGGAAAGCCGCGTCTGTGTCCGTGTCCGCGTCGGAGCTTCAAGCATCAGCCTCGAGCCTCGTGGCTCTAGCCGTCCTAAGGGACTGCTTAATCACTAGGGACCGTGTAATAATCCCTAAGACTGATACCCAGCCTAGCGAGTGTTTCCTGGTCCTGGCTGCGAGCACCGACGGCAGAACGCAAAGACCCTGGTGTTAGGCGGTCCGCACCGGAATGCCGGATTCTCCGATATGGCTGCTTTGAAGTTACGCAATCTGGGCAGGGCGGACCTACTTGTAAATTGTACACGTCAATGCACTAGGTATGTGTGTATGTAGGTGGGTGGTGTAGACTTGCCGGCGGTGGCGGTGGCGGTGGCCGAGAGGTGGGCCGGGTGCTACTTCAACTTGGCCGAATTTGGGCGTTGGCGTTTGGGCGTCCGGCAACTAGTTCGCTACCCGAGCAACCTCGGAGGAAAAAGTGACACTCATGGTGACTGGTGACGGAGCTCGCAAAACGTTGTCGACCCGCACCTGATAGTACCACCGGTGGTCCGATCGGCGTTTAGTACTTAGAACTTAGTATTAAGTGGTATTTGGTGCCTTTGGCTTTGTCGAGTGGCGCGTTTGAAGCGAGCAGGGCCGGGTTGGATACGGCTGGAGTGGCGAGTGAGTGGCAAGTGACGAGTGGCGGGTCACGGACTACGCGGACGACGGACGACGGACATTCGTGCGGGGTGGTGGGGGACCCTGGCAGTGTCACTGTGACCCGTCGACCAGGAGCAGGTAATATGCAATGCAGGTGGTACTTACCGCAGATGCCGACCGCTGGACCCCACCCCAGCCACGCAGCCACGCGGGGGTGTGGAGTACATAGTACGTACATATGCATATGCATATGATGTATATATGTATTATGTGTGCAAATGTACTTGGTTGCCGCACCAGCTCGTACCAAGGTGCCGGATTCTGGTTCTGGAATATGGAATATGGAAAATGGAATATTGATAATATAGATTGTGGGTTGTGGGTTATGGATCCTTGTGCCTGTCCAAAAGAGACACTAGACTGGGTGGGCAGTGCAGCCAGAGTGTGCACACCTGAGAGATCGCTATCTTATTCTAGCACACCAAGCTGGGGAGCGAACACTGGCAGTGAGAGGGAGGGGCCGCCGGGCCTGCGGCAAGTGAGAAGCAAGGAGCTCTGTGGCAGAGCGTCTCGCACTGTCAATGTCAGTGTCAGTGTCGGGTATGCGGTATGCGGTATGGGCAAGGGCGCAGCAGGGGAGCAGGGGCGCAGGGACTCGCATTGAGTCATATACAGTCTGAGTTTACTTAGGCGAACAGCGGAGGTCATCTGATGGTACGGAGTCCGGACGGTGTGCGGCGCTCAGGTCTCAGGTGTGAGGACGCCCTGCCCAGTCGTTGCGCTTGCGCTTGCGGGTGCCTGCAACTTGTGTGTCGTGTGCCGTATCCTGATTCGACACTCATATAACTTACAAGTAAGCTTAACTGTCAACATACATGGCAAATGATATATCATAATCACGAACCACGAACCACGGCCCTAAATAAGCATAAGAGGCACTCGTCATCGGCCAATCGCCAAGGACCCACCCCCAAAACCCAAACCTAAACCCGAATCGGGAACCACGGGCACGGGCACGGGCACGGGCACAGGCAGCGTTGATTCAGACTCAGAGTCTGACAGTGAAGGGAGGCCAGGTCTGCGTCACACGTGTCCTCAGTAGGCACTGGGCACTGGTGCCAGGCAAGTGCTGGCCCCTGGGCACTGGGCAGAGTCAGGCGATCGTGGATCGTGGAGATCGGGCGCCATGGAGATATGTCGGCGAATGTGTCGAGTTCAGCGCAGTGCCGGTGACCGGTGCCAGTGACCAGCGAGCGCCACAGACGCGGATGTTTATTGTGGGGGAGAGGGGGGGGGGGCTGACGGGGTGGGCGGAGGGAGTGACAATAGGTTATGGATGGTGTGGGATTTTTGGGGACCCGGGTAGAACGAGGATAAGAAAGAGAATAGGAACGAGGGTAGTGGATAAGAAAAGGACCAGGGTGGGGATAGAGATAGAGATAGAGATAGGGCGGCGGGATGGAAGATGGGAAGACCAGGGAGGGAACAATAGGGATGAGTAGAGGTGGAGAGGTGGAGCAGGAGTGGAAGGATGGGGATGGGGAAGGAGGTGGTGACCGAGTGCGGCACAAGACACAAGACCAGAACAATTGGCCGGCGGGCGGCTTCGAAATTCGAATTCGAATTCGAATCCGCAAGGGCTTGTTCGATGACGAGGTACCAAGTAAAATGGCTAGTTACCTTGTTCTGTCGACCTTCACATCCATTTCACGAGCCGTACAAACATAGCTCGAGTTGTGGAGTGTATGCTTAGATGCTGATCAACACTGTGCACTCCCGTTGTCCTTGTTGTCCTTCTTCCTTGTTCCTTGAGGTAGATGAACAAGAACCACGAACCACGAACACGACCATGCACCATGCCCTACCGAGGGGGGATAGATGCAGACGTCAAGTGAACTCGGAAGTCTGAAAGTCAAAGTCTGAAAGCCAAAGGCTGATGGCTTGGGCTTGGATGCGGGAAAGTCTAAGTTATGTAGATAGTCTTAGGATGTCGGATTCGGGATGCGGCAAGTACAAGTGCAAGTGGCATAGGAGGCAGGGTGTGGAGCCACAGGGATCGTAGGGATCGTAGGATCGGGGGGATCGCGAGTGTACAGTGGCATTAGTTGCCGCCGGCGGGAGCGCGTTAACGTTGGTATTACCACTGCCGCTCCCCTTGCCGGTGTCCTTCCCCCTCTCTATTTCCACTTTGCCCACGTCTGCGTCCAGTTGCCGCTGTCGCTGTCCTGGAATATTCGGTAGTGTTTAATTGTATTTTTTTTCTGGAGTGACAAGACGTGGAAACGGTCGGCGGTGAGAGAGCGTTGTCAAGGAGTCGGGTGTCGGGAGGGAACAGGCGCACGCGCGCGCATAGTAGAGTACGCGCAGATTGGCGGGGGCGTCGTCGTCGTCGTCGCTGATTTTTTTTGGCGGTAGTAGGATGGGGAACTGACAGGTAGAGCAACGGGGGACAGCTACTGGGGGAACGGTAGACTCTGAAAATTGGGCAGGGGGGGTTGGCATAGCACATGGCACGGCTAGAGGCTAGGACTGGAGCGCAAAGTCAGACTGTGACGCAGGCCTGGGCGCTGGGCGTGGACGCATAGGACTCGGAAGTGTCAGTGTCAGTGCTTGTCAGTTGTCAAACGTCAAAAGGATGAAAAGAATCGGCTGG